CCTACGACCTGGTATGTGCCTCATACAGCATAATAATACGGCATAAGAAAGCCCATCGTGCTCATATTCGTTGAAAGTGATTTTAAGCAGCGTACCAGCCATTCCTTCAGTTACATCAAATGATGAAGAACCCGTTATGATGAGTCTCATGTTCAGGGCGAAAACACAATCTTGGATTATAATACTATCTCTTCGGCTAATTCGTGAATCCCGTGCCATCGATCCGTTTCCAAAAAATGAGGCCAGCATCTTTTCCCCTTCACTGACATCACGATGGTCTCTCCCCTACGCATGTTTTTCATACTTTAGCTTCTTTAATTCAAGATTTTTACCCGTCATGTCAATACACCATATTTTTCACTACGTATATTGTAATATACTTCAAAAGAAAAAAAGTAAAAAGCCACATGGTTTCTGCATACCTGGAAAACTTGAAGCCGACATATATACAAACTTTTTCTCTGTTTTTTCCCGTTAGCGTTAATTAACTAATAAGCAATTATTTGCATGAAAGGAAGTTTTTGAAGTAAAGCTTGAACAATCACTTTAAATATGAAAAAAATTAGCTCATGAATCTCAGGGTTCTGTCCTAAGATACTCTATTTAATTTACAGGTTGAACTTATTGATCCACAAGTACTATATTAAAAATCACTGTACTCTGCTGGCCATTAAAATTACTACATCATGAAGGCATCATGCAACAGACGCCAAATTTGCATAAAAGGCACGACCTCCTCCCAGCAGGTAGTGCCTTTCAAGTGCATAGAGGCACCGAGAAAAACCAACGGTACCAGCTTGAATTCGACATCTTCATTCGAGCGCAGTACTTGGTGTGCTGTTATGGAGTGCCACTAAGTACATGTGTTGGTCACTTCTCGTTCTCATAACAGACAATGCGGGCAGCCAGTGTTAAATTTATATGTTAAAGGCCTGTGGTTGTGCTTTATCTTCGAAGGCTGCATAACGCTATCTTTCAGCAAGATAATGCTCTACCATATGTTACTCCATGCTGTTCTGATTTTCCTCGATGCAGAGGATGATGGCACCCTGATCTGCACATTTATCAGATCTCCCGCCCATTACATGAGTTGCCGAGAGACTGGCACATCACCACTTGCAAGCTACTACGACTGATAAAGTCTGGCATAGAACTAAAACCGATAAAATCAGATGGTAATTTGAGTACACCCAAGCTCAGTTCAACTCGATGCCCAGCCGGGGTTGCTGCTAGAAGAGATGTTCTGTGTACTGAATTCTGCACGATAGAGACAGGCCACCTGGAAATTTAAACATATCTTCCTTCTGTTATACTGTATACGTACAATTTATAAAATCATGCTATTTGCTTTCTTTCCTGGATTTTAATGGACAGCAGTGTATTTACTGAGCCCTTCTATTCCCATTTCAGAAAAGCGTTTGTATGAAATTATGTGCTCTCTTTTAGAAGCTTTGTAATTGATTGGACATGTCATGAATCAATTTTTAAAGAAATAAACCTCGTAGTTGCATTTTTTTCGAACACCTCTCCTAAGTAGCACAGCTAATGAATTCTGCCTAAGCAATGAAAAATAACAGTACGTAAAAATTAAATTTTCGTGAGTTTGTGTCGTTTCGCTTTCTCGGCTAACATATAATGTACTAAACGTTGTAGAGACTATTGTTGAATTATTACTACGACCTGTAAGTACCACAGAGGCAGAGAAAGGGTGTAAAGGCCCCTTGATTTGATTCAAATAAAAGTTAAGAGACGAAACCACTCTTGCTTACAGAAGCCGACAGTTATGGCTTAACTTAAAGATAGCGGATCAACTAAAATTAATGAAATTTAGTCTAATGTTTTCACAATTTCAATGACGCGCAAGTTGGCTTTGACCTAAGGTCGATATAACAAGCCTAATGGCAAGAATAACGCAACGCCGCAGAATACTATTCAATCAATCCATCTGATGAGCAAGGAAATCAATTTAGAACGTGGCCTTCAGCAGGAAGAACACGCTCTGATTCTACCCTCTCAAGCCTTCCTTTAAATACTCTTTTCTTTCTACCTCGTTTGAATATCGCACGAGCTAGAAATTGCATTCTGGCAAGAAAATGGGAATGAGGGAGATAGGAAAGCGGTTTAACATAAAATAACTGATTAGAAACTAAATTATATTCTACGAGAAATAATTCAACTTTATGTTTTAAGTTAAAAGCGTATTCATATTTTTTCGTATGAGTGATGTAGTATCATGCTTCATATTTATACAAAATTCAAGTTCAGGACAAAGATTAAGTTTTAACTTTATAGCTCTAACTGATTAGTTAGCTAATAAAACAGGCAAGTTGACAATCTTGTATTAGGCGTAGATTTTGTAAAATCCCAATCGATTTCGAGGGCAAAACGGGTCCCCCTTCATCAGGAGCAAAAAATTCTGCAAAAGCGAGAAAGCGAATGTAGATCATGTTTATACCCTACCTTTAACAATTGTCAGTTTCTAAAGTATTTGGCTGAATGGATTTCAAAAACATTATGAATTTGCATGAGAAGTTACTTGATTTATCAATTATTGGAAAACGCCGAAAGAAGTTTGCCTATTCCGTAAAGAATATGCGGAGACCGCAGAGTGATTGTTGATTTATGCCTCACAATTGTGTATTGCTTTGGTGCAATATTGTTAGCTCTTTGGGAACAATAGAAGACAGAATTTGAGTTTGTGTCATAACAGTGCAATGGTGTACCAATCGTCCCAAAAGAGCTCTCATGTGACGATTCGAAGACTTAAACTCTTTCAAATTTGGAGCATCGAGTGACTCCGCAGACTCTCCACGAACATCTGTTATGCAAATGACAACTCGTTGTCGGGATTTGTTTTAAGCCCACTGCGTTGATGTGGTTGGTCGTCGCGTAGGTTGGCTGTTGTTCAGCTCCGTTCCTTGGGCGTAGCTAGTTGTGTTCGTTGAACATTTGTGGAGTGACGGACCATCAGTGGCGCGAGTGACGTAGTTTGACAGTTTTTACGCCCTTTTGGAAGTGGCAGGAACGCGCTCGCACTTGTTCCATGCTTTGCTATATTAGCGGAGGCTTGCTCCTGGTAACACGTATGGATTGAATTTGAAAGGAAATGTGAGAGTCTCGCATTCTTAAGAAACTTCAAGGACAATTTGAGTCTTTCAATGCAATGTTCGACTAATTGTCGCAGTAGCGCTCCATATGATGATTTCAAGAATTGTAACTCAAATTTACTAGAGTGGCTCCGCCGTAAATATTTTGGGTCCTTCTCCTGTTTTTTTTTTTTTTTTTTTTTTTTTTTTTTTTTTTTTTTTTCCGTAAATTTATATGGTATGCCAAATTTTCCAACATTATCACCAAATTCGTTTGATAGCGATTGTAGCTGTCACAGAGAAAAGGTTCATTGATTCTAAGATTAGATTTTTCGCTTTCTACAAGTAGGTGATCTTCAGCGGATCACGGCCCAAAGCTCGCTTAAGTCGTCGATTTCCAAGCTAGGTACCCACTACAAGTTTCTTAATTTTTTGGTGCTTTGATTCGCTGCTGCAATTCATAAGTCCATTCTTCATGTGAAGAGCTCATTCATGTTAATCAGTTTATTCATCTGTCGAATCAGAATTAGTGATAACGTCTCGAATAATTATAGCAGTTTCAGGCGGAAGATGCAATTGACTTTAATTTCTAATTGCGAATTCTAATCGGATATCCCTAGTTCAAAAGCTGATTCACACATAGCAAACGATAAAGTTGGCTATGTAAAATTGTAAGTTGGGATCTTAACACGTGTGCAGCGTGAGCCTGCATTAAGGTCTATGTACACTTGATAATTTAATGTTCGATGATTTTTCGGAAATAATTACTCATTTGAAAGTTTAATTTCTAAATAAACAACGGGTCACATTGTAGGGAGTTTGTGATGAATACTTAATTAGATGTTCAAGGATTTAAACACGGATGAATACTATAACTTCTAAAATCTTTAAACCATACATCCCGTAAATGTCGCTTGCTCTCTTGCTTTCATATTCAATTCAAAGAATTGTTCTTTCATAGTTACCTCTTCTCTCCAACGCCACCTCTCGAAATGCATTTTACGTATCTTGGATAGTGGCGCCATCTTGAAATATAAGTTACAACAAAATCATACGTTAACGGGCAATAGTTTCCTATTTTTCTAGGAATGAGGTAGTCTTGGATAGACGTTTGTATACGACAGGTGACTAAGTAAAACAATATCCAAGTTCTTATAAATTTTACTTAAAATAGAGATTATGAAAAAAAAAATCTGAAAGTCTTCAAATTTTATATTACGCTCAAAGGGACTTTTTTCATTTACACACACATACACCTTTTGAGAGCATCTGGATTAATGTTCCTTTGCGCTAATAATCGAAAACAACGTATCTTTAGAATCAATGTATCTTAGAATAGACAGTTTCACCCGCTGGAGGTAACAATGTTTTTTACCGTTGCTTTGAAATCGTTGAATTTGCTAATAAAAAATTCGTTAAAGTTTTACAAAATATGAAATAGATAATAAAACAAATTCGACAACGGGTCACATTGTAGGGTGCTCATATTCAAGTGCAGGACAATGTTATTCAAAATTTGATGCTTCTAGATATCATTGTTTTTTCATAATGCAAGAAACATATATACTTCCATGCAGATTCTTCATTATTTAATTTCTTTAAATATAATACTGAGTGATAATATTTGGTGGCAAGGATCTGAAAAGTGGTTAAACACTTTTAGTGATTCGATGCAAAATGCTCTTTTGAGAGTTATAGACCTTCCGAGTTAACGTTCCTTTGGGCTAATAAGCGCATACAAATGGAGATATAATTAAGCATCTTACTGCACACTTAACATGTTCAATCATTACTGACTGAATTATTATTGACCTTTAGATTTTAAAATCATTTGCTCAGAAAATTATCTACAAAATAAAAAAGTAAATTACAACAAAGTGAATTTCATATCAAAAGAATAAATAAAAACAAGAAAAATTCATAGCAGCATTTATTTGCCACATTTTCATGAAAATCACACTTTTTTCCTACATAAGTATTATTTACAAACAATTTTTAGATCAGTAAGAAGTACAGCTGACTAAATATTACTCTTCATATGAAACTCCACACAGTTCTCAGACACCAAAAATAGAACAGCACATTTCCTTGCTGTGCAAGCATTTCATTTGGCAATTCAATACCATATTTAAAGAAATATACTTTTGATTCTTTTCATGGCAATAGTTATACATAGAACATCAAAAAAAAATTAAATTAGTGTATACATATATGAGAGAAAAAGAGAAGCAGTTACTATAACAATTATATACATATGGATGCAGATTAAGAAAATTAGTAATTTGGAAAAACATTACAATATTGTATGGAGCAAAACAGAGGAAGAGAAATCATTAACACAAAAATAAAATAAATGCTATCAAAATAATAAGAGCTTTATTTGCTTGAGCAGCATATGCAAATTTTATAAATATTTAAATTAAAATAAATGATATCCAAATAATTAGAGCTTTCTTTTGGTTGAGTAACATACACACATTTTATAAAAATTTAAATTATGTTTTTGTTTACAGAAAATATGATACGAAAAATTTAATTAAAAAAATCCTTCTAATTATTTTCAAGTCCTTGAACAGTTTGAAAAAACTGTGTTATTAACATTTCTGTAAAAGTTAACAAAATGGAATTTTTTAAAATCTTGACTGGTTGAAAAATTTTCCCAATTCCCAAATCTCAGTTTTTTCCTTTTGCAGGATGGCAGATGTAAATGTTTCAAACCCAGGGACAGGGCTGCACGAAATATTTGGTTGTCCAGAATTTCTGTGTCATATATTTTTCTTGTCTTAAGCAAAAGAGTCTTACGTCATACATGAAAACTAGGTTCCAAAAGCAGTAACAGAAAATGTAGTAACAACAAATGATTTCTCTTTCTCATCAATTTATACAGCAAACATATCCATAATATAAAAAGTAATTATTTAGCAGCATGAAACTTAATCATATATATATATATATTTATGTTAACCTTATGCACTTAATACAGCTTGCTTGGGATATAAAAGACAACACTAAAAAAAGATAACACGAAATGCATTTATTGTCAATATATTTCAATCATGTACACAGTAAAAGACTTTAAAAAAATCTATTATATTATATTATATACTACAAAGTTCAATTTTTTCTAATGAAAACTTTACTTATGCATTCAGTATTATCTTATTATAGTAATAAATAAACTACACTATAAAACAGCTGCAAAAAAATCTTTAACGATGCAACTTAACCCAAAGAAAACAGATCAGCATCATAACAAGTTAGGAACCAAATTATAAATGGCACATTTAAAAACTTTTAAAGGATATATACAAAAAATTACATATTCTATAATTTTATTTCTATAAAAATTGCATATTGAGCGAAAAATTTAGGGGAGGGCGGGGGAAGAAAAGGAAAAAAAAAAAAAAAATGCATGAAAATACTTTATTTCGTTGAATTAAATTTCATGCCAGCATTTACTTATGAGCGCCCTAACTTCATGAATGCATAAAAGATAGATTTAATAAGGGCTGATTTTTTAATATGAAATAAATGGAGAAAGAAAATCTGGAGGAAAAATACATTACATTCTTCTTCCAGAAATCTATTCATAGGTTATTTAAAAATATGTTACAATAGAGTCAACGCTCAGAAATTCTGACAGTTGATTTATTACAAATATGTTTTCATATAATTACAAAGAGAAAGTTTATTATACAATTAGATTACATTTTTATGTACAACTTTGGCGTTAAAAAAAGCCCAGACTATGTTATATTGCTCTAAACATTTCTACAGCTTCCCAAAAATAATAAAACATGAAATGAATCAGAAATATTAAAGATCAATTTATCAAGAATTTAGTTGCTAAGTTTATTTTTCATGATGTATATATACACTATATATTCCATAAGAGTACAAGTAATTGTTTTTGCCATGGTTATGAGGAAAAACTGCATAAAATAATTCATAGAGCATAGGTTACAAAACAGATATATTAATTTCAGAAACGGAGATACTTCTTACATTTTTGGTCAAAACGTAATAGTTCTTCCACTATTCAAACTGTGAATATACACTATTTATTCTCTTTTTAAGCATTTGTTCATGAATTACAGTGTAAATTAACAGTATATCAAAATTCATTTAGAAAGGTTTGTCAATATGTGATTAGAGAAAGAAGCATGAAGAACAGTAAGTACTTGCCAGGCAAAATTTTACTTTATTAATTTAATGGAAGGAGTATTAAAATTTATATTTTACTTCTTAAACGTAAGAGCTCTTTTTTTTTTTTAAAGCTTACTAATTCAAAAACAACTATCTGAGGAAAAATTGCCCTTTTGTTAGAATTTTCTTTTCATTGCTTTCTTAAGATATCTCTTCATAGATCATATTACAAAAGCCATTAACAATATTAAATTTGTGTTTCACTACTTTAGCATCTTCTTACATAAAATATCATTATCTTACACATTTTATTGCTACTAACAAAGAAATCTACGATAATTTTCATATTATGCTTTTACTTTAAACTATAGGAAATAATATGGCATTATAATATATGACTATTTTCATATGTTTAAAGTTATGTTTTTATATTAAAAAGCATAAGAGAAAATAAAACAGCACACAGATATAAAGGGGGGAGACACATTACTATTTATAACCAAAAAAAAAAATGCCGACATAAGCTTTTTTTTTTAAAACAATTTATAAAAGTTTCATTTTGTCCTGATTTCTTTTTTCTAAAAATAAAACGTAAGAATACACATCAAAAACTAAAATGGCAAAAAAACCTAGAATCAATAAAAATATATATTTCTGCAAAACCAAAGATAAAATGGAATGAAATAATATGCTTGAACTGTTAAAAACTGCAAAATATTTAAGAAGAAAGTGGTCCCATGCATAAATTCATGAGTAATGAATAATGAACTGCCTAAATTACTGCAAATTATTTCATTAAAATTACAATCTTTTATTCTTAAAATGAAGCTTGTAGTAGACATTGCTTTCTACTGCTTGTTATCTGTTAAAAATTAAATTTTATGTGAAAGTATGATTAATACACCGCATTATAATGAAAATATAAAAAAATAACCCAGGAAATACAAAAAAAGGATAAATATGATGAATATGAAAAATGTGCAATTCAAACACACTCTATCAATATCCCTCCCTTCTTTCATAAGTAACATTTAACAAAAAAAGGGAGGGACACATGAGGAATAAGTTACTTAAGATGTAAAGTAAGATTACATAAATGTCAGACAGGAAAGAAATTACTTGATATTGTTTTATGAATTATAAATAACATTACAAACTTGAGAAACATGAAGAAAAATTATTTAAAAAATGACAGTAATAAAGATTTTTGATATACCTTACATCTTCAAACATGAAAATTGTAGTAAATACTGATAATATAAAAATTATGTCCAGATTTTATCATTTCAAAACACACAGAAAGTTGCCTTTATTCAAAATATTAAAATCTTCCACACTTTAAATTTAAAATCGTTTACAATAATAAGCCAGAGAGTCCCTCTAATTGTACTCATTTCATTGAAAATTCTGTTTAAAAAATATACAAATTATTTGTTTGCCTTTTTTCACTTTTATTTATTTGAAGATAGAAAATAAAATGGATACTGCAAAACATCTTTCAAATCTGAAAAATTATCTGATTTGAAGAACCCAAAGTTATACATGCAGTGCATAATATAGCCTAGCAAGATTATTAGAATGTGGCCCCGAAAAGTTACAAATTGATTAGGACATAAAGCGCTAAAAATTTATGAATTCTTCAAAACCATCAACAGTTTTAAACAATAAAATGAACATTTAATTATTTTCTCTAAAACTGTTTAAATCATTTTTTTAAACATTAATTCAGTTTCTGCTCATAGAATACTGTTATGCAAAATCATTCTTATGCTGAAAAAACTTTTAATTACAGAACTATTTTAAATAATTAAAAGTTTATACAGATATAAACTTTATGGAACAATTACTTGAATATTTAAAGAATAAATAAGCAATTAAATTCCTTGTACTTCAAAGAGTTTAAAATTTATTAACTATTATATTGCCTTAAAAAGGAATTTGAAACTACTTATTTTATAATACATTACCTTCAAAGAAGATTTTATAATTTAAAAAGCATAAACAGTATCAGCGCAATATTAACCTATGTAATTTTAAAAAGAAAATAAATGACAATATAAAACATATCTTATATCATTCTATATATAAAAGTATGTGCTTTTATCTTATTGCTGTGAATAATTGTTATAACAATTATTTATCAAAAACAGAAAATATATTTATATTACACAAATTTAGTCACTGCCTAAAAACTTTATTAAAAAATCTGAAAATCAACATGCATATTAAAATAGATAAGTATTATAAATATGAAAAGAGAAAATGATACATTTGTCAGCCAAAAGCAACTCTTGATTTTAAATCTTTAAATAATTAAAATACAGGAAAAATAAATGAAAAACTAGACAATCAGAAAATTTGGTTATAGCAAAACAGTGCTACTAAGTATGCTGCTTTTGGCCATATCATTTATTTTAATGACTAGTATGCAATGAAATTTAACACAGATTTTGCACACAGCATTATGAATAATTAATGTATAGTTTTTAAAAAAGTTATAGCATAGTGGAAAAAAAAAGCTGCCTGTTCATTCCAAAAAATAAAATTATACATATACATGCTTTGTTTATTATATGTAAAACTTTTCAAGTTCACATGACTTTTCACAATATACATTTAATTATCAAAAATGCATATTCAATTCTTACCAGGTATTACTGTTAAATTCATCATACACTTCCACATTTATACAAAATTTACATCATTATACATCTATACATGGTATAACATCTCTTTTTAAAATTACAAAATAACTTCTTCAAAAATATTTTACAACTTGTAACTAAGAAGTTTTTCAAATCATAAGAAATATTAAATACTATAACTGCTAAAAAGACAATAAATAAATATTTAAAATTTTCTTCACAGATCTATTAGTATTTAAAAATAGCTAAGTAAAAATATTTTATATATTATTAGGTTAACATAGATTTATATTGTAGACAATAATTATGGCAGACAATTCTGAAGTATCCTTTCATTGTTTTCTTCAAAACTATGATTTAAACTTCCATTGAAATGAATGAAGTCTTTCAATTTAGCATTCATCATGATTTTAACTCCGATATGAACTCACTTTTTAATATGATACATTAAATAGTTTGATTCAATTTTCAATTTAGAAAAACTGCATCATTTGACTTTAATTTCACTTCATTTATTTATTTTCTGGTGTGTGTATGTGTGTGAAAATTCTTTCTGTACGATTACACCTCTTCTGAAATGTATCCGTTTTATGGTTACATGTTACTTTAACATCTTTGTGAAAATTATGAACACTTAATAATAATTTATGTAACTTTTCTGTATGATTCTAGAAAATCCCCAATATTAAAATAAATCAAAATTATATTATTGATAAATTTAGAATATACAAATTAATTTTTGCTTTTTAACATTAACATAATTATAGTCTATACTTTTATATAAATATAAATGAAAAGAAAGAATATTCACTTTTATAAGCAGAATTCATATGAAAAAGTGAAATGTTTTTATGTGAAAAATAAGAGTTTTCAGGAAATTTTCATGTTGCATGGTGAAGTCACTTCAGAAGAACTTCAAATTGATTTAAATTTGCTTTATAATGTATTATTCAAGTTACTGAACTATTTATAATGTGATTCTTATCTAAAATACATTAATATTTCATTAAATGTTCTTCAGCTAATTCCATTTTGTAAATTATGCTAAAAATATAACATAAAATTATTAAAAATTTAAATATCTATAAATATTTATACTGAGAAAAAACCTGAGTATGGAAGAAAAGTAATTTATTTATCAGTTTTTAATATGATGAAAATAAAATTAATATCCATTAATGTAATAAAAGTATTGTGTGGATAAGCTTAGCAATCTACCTATTATGATATAAAATTAAATACAAATATTAACTACAATTGTTGACTTTCCATAACATATTTTTACATTGACTTGAAAAAAAAAATTACAATAGTTGAATAGAAAAATAAAAAATTTTTCAACTAGAAACGTATTTCCAAGATAATGGTTTGATTCAACTCGTCTTCCTCAGAAACACTCAAAGGCTAATAAAGATTTCTCAAAACAGGCATTTTGAATATTTTTCTGCTTTTCACTCAAAAGAATTTTTATGAAAGACATATGTTGTTTATCATAAAATATACAAAATGCAAGTAATTATGGTATATTCATAATTATCTTATTATTAACAGTATAAAATTACCGAAAATATAACCGCAGAAAAACTTGTCAAATTAAAACTGTTACTGAAGATGCATTCTTTAGGTCACAGAATATATTTCTGATTTTTACAATCAGTGGAAATTACTATTTTTATGTCAGAAAATTATAGGGAAAAAATGTCCCTCTCTTTAGGTTTTCAACTAATGGTATAAAGGTCATTCTAGATAAATTTGCACATGTTCATGTAAATCTCATGTTCTTTCAATGAGAAATAATTTTTTGCATATGTCAAACAAAAAGTGAAATGTACCTTTTTTTTTTACCCTCATTTTCTATGCCTGAGGATGATGTGATAATACATTAATAAAAAATAAGTTAAGAAAGAATAATTTCCTATGATGCCAAATTATTAATTAACTTTTCATTTATTATCTGAAAAATGACTAAAAACTTATCAAAATATGCTTTTACTCTTTGTTATATTAGAATTTTGATTTTTAATTTTCCATAATGATTCACTTAATGTATCATACGAAACCTACAACTGTCTGCATATAAAGAGACTTAAATGTAAACAACTTACAATTTTTTTTCCTTCAAAATTGAATTTAATACAAAGTATTGCAACTTAAAAGCCCCACCTAATTTTGCAGCTAGTGAGTTCTATTATTATTTACAATATAAATGATAATTAAATGCTTTGATGATATTTTGCTCAAGATATTTTTAGGAATCATATCCTTAACATACCAATTTAAAGACTATAAATTCATGATTTGATTTCTTTACGATGCACACTTTTTTTTGCAGATAAACTTTTTATTTATTTTTGTTTTCAAACCCACATCTGCTCCTGATCAAGATACTTCATGTAAATCTTAAAGAAAATAATACTAAAGCCAAACATTTTGGATATCATTAAAACATTAAGCAACAATTTTTTTAATTAATTTGCATATATATGAATATAATATGCATATATATGTATGAATAATTAATTTATTCATTCATGCATTATGTATCATATTATCAGAAGCATGCATAAACTTATATAATTTTCAATTTTACAAGTTTAAACAAATTCTTTCATCACACAACCTTGGAGCACGTAAGTACGTAGTTAGAAACAATGAAAAACCTAATAATCGCCAAAACCGCCAAGTATAGATTTTTAAAAATAGAAAAGGCTTAAAAAAAAAAAGAAAAAAAAAAAGAGAAAAAAAAAAAGCTTACAACTACACGTAAAATTCAAGCTTTGAGCAATTCTCAAATGACATTTTAACAGGATTATTCATGAATAATTACTCTGTCAATAAACCTCCTCTATAAATTTACAAATGTACATAATTTTTCACAAACTTTATACATCACGTGAAAAATATAAATTCTTCCACTTTTAATCACATAAGATTGAGAGAAATTTGAAATTATTTTAAAAATGTTATTTGATCAATTTTGAAAAATTATGAAGCATAAAAAAGTAGGACAGTAATTAAAATGATAGTTACTGAATGGAATAACTTCATTCATTTCCTAGTGCCACAAAAACTTTACACGATACATATTTTCAGCATTATAAGAACTTCTTGCATTTTCTAAGAGTACTTAAAAATGTTGAAATTTTGAATTATGGATTTCAAAAAGATGATTCAAGTATTGAGCATAAATTCCTCTACAGATATTAAAAACCCATAACCATGTTTAATAATTTAAGTTTTTCTTGTACTACTTCCTTAACCTAATCTATGGAAGGAAAAAATAATTAAAAAATTTAACAACTCTTATTAAATAGAAACTAATAATCTACCAAAGGTATTCAAAAAGTTATTCTCTGAATGATATTAAACATATTGCTGCATTCCTGTTATGAAAACTTATATATAAACATTCCTGTTATATGAAATTAATTAACACTGTGTACAGCATTCTTCTAATTTAAAAGATGTTTTCCCATTTCAAATAGCAGATATGTTTTTACTATTCAAAACTAGATGAAACCACATTATATGTATGAAATGTTCAGTTTTATATTGACAATATAATAAATACTATATGAAATTTAGCTAAATACATTCACATAAAACTGACACAAATTTAATTATAATATTTTAAGCTATCAATAAATGAACTTAAGCATCATTTACGTCAAGTTTAAATGCAAGGAATTTCTACAGAAAAGAAGCATGCCAATATCAAATATAAAATTTGACAAAAACTCAGTTTAGACCGACACTGTTTTTTAGAAAAGCTGTTGATTTCGAGGGAGACAATAATCGGCTTAACTTTCCTTCAAGAAGCGGTTTTTTCTCTTTATTCTTTTATTTCACCTATTAAAATGATGCATTTCAGGCCTATAGTGTAGAATAGTTTGGCTCTTTTGAAGAAAAAGGAACCTGTGTCCTCCCCTTGAAAGTGATAGATTTTCTCTATAAAAACAACGTCAATCTAAAGTTCATTTTAGCCTAATTTTACACAAGGTACTTTGTACATAAAATACTTATATTTTAAGCATTTGAATAAAAATTTTATATTTTGCATGCTACTACTCTTGCATTTTCTAACCAAGTTCTTGCTTAGAAATATGCTGTGAAAAACAAGTAAAAATATTTTTTACATTAAAATGTATAAAATAGAAAGAAATATTAAGATTATGAAACAAAAAGGATGAAAGGCAAAATAAAGTAATCTTTCTGTTATATGTTCTTATTAAAGTCAAATGCATAAATGTAAAGCTTTAAAAAAGATTGCATAAAAATATTTGCAAAATTATTCTTCCCAAAAATCCAGAAAACTACCATGTGTTCGAGGAAAAATTAAATAAACAGCAAAAATTCACATATTATTATAACTATTTTCTAGTTTTTTTCCGCTTCTAGTTTTATATTACAATATAAAAACTGTCAAAACTATTTTTCACAAATCTAAAAAATACCATCATTAAATTCTAATAAACTGCAAATTATTTGCTCAGTGCTTCAAACACTGAAGAAAATAAAACAAATATCTAACACAAATGACCAAATATTCTAACATATTTGAATAACTATATCAAAATATAAAATAAATTTAAAGTGTGAGAAATTACAAGTTTACATTAATATATTATGTTTAGTTAAAAGATGGGAAACATAATCTGAAATTAAAGTTCCTTAATATTTTAATACAAATATACTGACAATTAAAAACTTTAATAATTTATTAAAGCCAGTTTACATGCTTGCAGATTTCAATGCATATTATATACATTCCCATTAAAATTCATTCATGATAATTTGCATGTACAACCTACAAATAAATATTTTTTAACCTAGAAGTATGAATCTTCTTCCTTTATAACTTATTCTACATTACACTGAATCACATTATAAACATATCGAACTCGGATATCCACTATTATTAAAATGATTATTCCACACATATTACCAAAAGATAAGATTTATTTAATACAGAATAAGTTAAGATACGATATACGAATTTTTAACACACACGTAATAAGCAAAGTTTCTAATGTAAGAATATATTTAAATGTTAAATTCCACTAGCTGTGGCATTAAATCTTGCAAGCATGTAAATATATATCGGGAAAGGGAGAAGATGAAAAAGGAAACTTTTAAACACTTTAAAAAATTAAACATACAAATTTTTATTATCTCTGACTTAAAAAATGAGTACATATATTCTGAAGATCGATAAAATTAAATTACACAGAAATTCAGAAAAATCAATATTTACAATATTATACAACCAAATATTAACAAAACATGCCATACACAATTTGAACAGAACATATTCATTTGATCCATAAAACATGGGAAAGAATTGCACAAATTTCCTACATATAATTATTTAAAGAAAAAAATTTGCTTCTTGTGTCATATATACAATAACAAAGCTGCCTAACAACAACAACAAAAAAAAAAAAAAAAAAAAAAAAAAAAGAGGCCTGAAAATGTTACATATATCTTTATAGAATAGTCTTGCATCATTGCTTGAATAACAAGGATTGATTCTGGAGTGATTATACTACATCTGGTATACACAGAGCAAAATAAAATGTACATTGCTGATGAAATTCATTATTTAGAATTTGTTTACATAACTGGAAAGGAAAGATGTAAAACACCACAAAGAAAGCTATAATAATCCAACCTGCCATATTTAATAACAATAAAATGTCTCAAATCAACTCTTTTATTCCATAAATTCTTGATTTTAAAGTTCTTGATTTTCCCTACTTCTGTTAAACTTGGTCATATTCCTATATCTTAAATTAAAAAAGAAACAAACAAACAAAAACAGAAACACATTCAGAAAAATTCTCCTGTGGATACCAGAGAGAGTAATAATGCATTTAAAAAATTACTTTTATGAAAAGCTAAAAACAGAACTCAAGATCACTAAAAGCACAGATATACTAAAAAGCACAATATGCTATAACTTCAATGCATCAATTATATTCCATACTTAAACCGCTCTGTTAAAGAAAAAGATAGGAAGGTATAACTTTGCAGTTAGGACAAAAATTTTAAAAAGGTTTTCTATTGAAAGCATATGCAGCTCTGCCATTGGTAAACACTGAAGCATTAAAAAAAGACACAAAGCTTCCACATTATGTGGTATAAATATACATTCTTCTCTATAAAATAAATATAACATGGCATATTTAAATTGTTTCTGATGTATAAAATGCACAGAATAGTTCTTGTTGAATATCCTAACTTAGAGCATATCCAATATTGAAAAGGAATCTATGTATAGTGGCATATTACACAATTCTGTGAATTTCTGTAAGTTAATTCAGCATCATTTTTGATTGCTAAACATCTTAGTTTAGACGGTTTGAGAAAAAAAGTTTTGGGCCTGAGAGTTTGGCTATAAGCACCACTTAATCATGGAAGAAGAGACATCTTTGGTTATTAGACACCATCATCCGAAGCACCAGTTTTATAAATCGCTGCCCTATAACTGAAACGATCCGAAAGACTTCGTTTCACTGAGCCAGAAATGTCTGAGGATGGTGCAATAGAAGTTATCTGAGGTTGATCATTTTTTTCCAATAACTCATCAACTTCACCAATAGATGTCTCCACTAAAGGTGGTTCTAACTCTGGAAATTGTGCAATTTTAGATCGAAGGAGATAAATATATGTCCTGTAGCGTTTCAGCTGGAGGGAAAAAAATCATAAATTAAAATATATTATAGAAAAATTTTAAAAGTTCATTCACCAAAAATGCACAAGACTTAAAGACTAACAGAATTTTTAAAAAATAGAGAAATTAATAAATAATTAAATAAAAATATTCTTTATTTTCAATAATATATTTGGCTGAGTGTTATGACATTGTAATAAATTGTTTAATTAACTTTACTGAAAAGCTGAATACATGTACTATGCAGCATATAGAATTCTTAATTAAAGTCAAGACTCAGTAGTTTGAATGTTACTTTTTGCTCAGATTAAAAGCATAATAACTTTAATGTCTCTTTAACTGAAAAATTTTACTTCAGCTTTCTAGTGAATCTAAAACAAGCAATGCAAAAAGTTATAAAAATCATAACTATAGCTCGTAAAAAGCTTACAAAAAATAAATAAATAAAAAAATATCAGATTAAAATTGGATAATTGAAGCTGAAACAACTGGTTGATTTTAATTTAATAACTTTTATTACACCCAACAGCTCTAAGATAAACTTCAACATTGTAACCATAGATTTAATGAAGCCTGAATTAAATATTCCAATAAACAACATAGAAATCAATTTCATATTAACAACAATTTCTGATCAAATCATGTGGCATAATGTGCATGTCTGAGTGGCTCTATTCAGGGCCATTTCTTTCATTTAATAACTGCTTTAGTACATTAGAAGAGTTACAGACACGGCATCTAACACGATTTCATGATACTTTGTAATAGTAGTTATAACTTATCTTTTGCTAATACATAAAACATCTAATGCCTTGTCAGGTCAATCTTTGGATCAAAAGCATTGTATTTTTTTTATAAAAGAAAATTCAAGATAATATTAAAATATTACAAAAAAATAAATTAATAAAATAAAAATGTTGCTTTTGCACAAAGTGGAAGAAAGCAACACAATTTATAAATGCAAAGATTCTACAGATAAATCAGGACTGTGTGCACAAATACCATTCTTTATAACATGGCAATAACCATTTTTTATATTTTCACTTTTTCATAAAGGTTTCCCATGCCTTTGAATTTACTTATGTGAATTACTTTAAACAAATCTTTTTATACTTAATATATCATAATATATTATGCCACAAAATTAATAAATTACCCCAGAAAAAATAATTCAACAGCAACTCAGATTAGAATAAGCGGATACTAGCAACAGAAAATTAACAAATGTTTTTATTAAGGACATGGACTCCAACTGAGGCACTTTTTGTTTAGAATATTCTTGCATCATTGCTTGAATAATAAGGATTGATTCTGGAGTGATTATACTATATCTGGTATACACAGAGCAAAATAAAATGTACATTGTTGATGAAATTCATTATTTAGAATTTGTTTACATAACTGGAAAGGAAAGATGTAAAACACCACAAAGAAAGCTATAATGATTTAATGCAGACAAACTGTGACTAGTGATGGTAGTATCAGAGGTGGTAGCAAACCTGATAATAATACTAGATATGGGGGGGGGGAACCACAACAATTTGAAAATTAATGACTGAAAATAATTACTTCATTTGGCACCAACACAAATGAAATACAAAATGTGTTTCAAGAGGTAGATTAGAAGTCTTTGATATTCAGAAGCAGATAGTTCTCAATAACTGCATAAACGCTAAGTTTATAATTAAATAAATGATTCAATTATTATTCCTTAAGAAGAAAATATATTATTTTTTCTTTCAAAAGGCAATGAGCTTTAAAACTATCATTAATGCAAAATAAAGGCGGAATTTTTCCAATTATTAGAATTGAATAATTTTAGCAAACTATAATATCTCCTTGCATTCTTTTAAACTAATATATATAATAATGTATTTTTGAAATAAAAATCAAACAACTTTTCTGCTCCAGCATTTTGGCATATTGAATGAGCGCCTGCATGCACACGTGGGTAAAGAAAACATAATACTACAGATTCATGTTCTCAAGAAGATCATCAAAAAGTTCAAGAAACTTTAATTTGTTAATAAAATTACATACAAAATATTTTACTGCATATATATTTTAAATCACAAAATATAATCAAATTCTCTGTTTTGATTATTGGCCTGAAATGCTACAGTTTCCTGTGTCAATTTAAAAAAAAAAAAATCAAATTTAGCTTTACTAACATTAATAATAAGCCTGCAGCTCCAATGAAACTATAAACTATCCAATACTTAAAACTGATTGACTATGCATAAGGTTGTAGAGACATTAGGATTATTTGGAGGAAGGCAAGATGAAAAATTAGCAACCGCCTTCGCCGGGAATAGAACGATGGACCTCTGAAATACCGGGCCAGCGTGCAGAACCACTACACCACAAAGGCACGCTAGGAAAGTGGGAGAAATACCTTACAACGTACGTTCCATATATTTTTAAAATATTAGCTTTTAGTGTATGATTATATTTAAATTATATTTGATATTAAAACATGGAATCCTTTTTGCTATTTGTATTTGTTATTAATAATCACATTTATCATTTATTTTTCAGCAATTTTAAAATTATTAATACAGCATGTAGAATTTAAACAATTCCTGTTATACACAATAAAGCTGGCAATCAGAGAAACTGTAATAAATTGACAAGTACCCCTCCCAAATACATATATGTACGGCCCCCTACAGAGTTTTTCTTATTTGATTTTTATCAAGCATTTAATGCATGGTCTTGGAATGCTCATTCTTGCAAAAGTGAATGAAAAACGTATATTTTACTAATTCACCTGCTATACACTTATGCATATCATATCATCTAAAAACTAGAAAAACTTTACGTACTTATCATTAACTTTGTTCATAAAATACAACTGATTTATTTTACATCAATAAATGCTAGATGAGAAAAGAACTAAATTATTCATCATTATTTATTCTACATATGCATTTATATACTGCCAACATCGTTTGGCAGAGCAATACATATGTTTGTAGTACAAAACATATGCCAAACTACAAAGATTCTCCATACTAGTATGGGGTTGACATAACAGTTACTAGGCACAAACTACTAATTTTTCTTCAGGGTTAATACATCTCATGTGTTTAAGCAAAATACTAAAATGATATCAAAATTAAGTTAAACTAAATCCCTATCTCTAAAATAGTATGAAAATATGTATTAAAAAGGCACCCTCACCCAAATTATTTTTTGCCAAAATGAAGTTCTGATTTAAAATATTCCAACAAAGTTTCATTGAATTGAACAGAAAAGCAAAATACACATATACATTTGGAAGTTTCATCTAAAAAAGATGGAAACATTAAGCACACCCAACTACATTAATTTTAAGTTACATAAATTACACACAAAATCATTTATAAAATACATGATTTTAGGAAATTTGTTTTTGCTTTGACCAAAGCAGATTTCAGACATACATTTCATTTTATGCTATCATAGAATTATCACAATTTTCAAATAATAAATTAAATACTATATTATGATTAATAAAATTGAATACTAGATGATACCTCCATACTAAATGAAGTATCAAAGACAAACTCTTCATTATCAGAGAAAGATTAAATTCATCTGGAAAAGAGACATAAAAATACTTTAAATTCCAAACGGTTGGTTTTTGTGGTTTTGACAAAGCCTCGAGCTACCTGCCTAAGGGAAGAGATGCCTTTGTGGAGGACTCTCTAAGGGAAACTGGCTTGTATGCACGTGACACATGGGGAAAACCATGAAAATACTCATGCAGCCAGCCAGTTTGTGGGATTTGAGCCTCGGACTGAACTACCACTGTTCAGAGACTTTATTGATCGGCCGCTGGTGGGCTTAAATTCAAGAATAGGCATTTTAGAATTCTATCAACTACTGTCTTTCTATAGCTGTAATGTCTCTACAGATGTCCCACTTCTAAAAATCTAGGAACACGCAATCATTGCTGCTTTGTTTGGTAACTTAACCTGTCACCACAAACCAAATGACTGCATATCTATAAAAGTGATATTTAATCATTATTAGATTTCCCTAAATTATCTTTGAGATTAAAAATACATTTACAAATAAAAGCATTTGCTCATAATTTATATATCAATCCATATCATATGACTTGCATAATGCTGATGACGTAAATAATTCAGAACTTGGATCTCAAAATTTTGAAAACTGAAACCTTTCTCTTTGTGAGTTTCCATGTTGGATAACTGTGCATTTTTGTGTATGTTTAAGATGTTGGCATGCTGCTTTTCTTCCTATCACAACAGTACCAAAAATGTAAATGTTCTTCAATAAGCACAAATATAGTAATATATTATAAAATAAATAATATAATATATTATTACATATATATATAACTATATATAAATATATTATATATATACATATGTAATAATTTTGATGGTATGATAACAGAAGAATACCCATTAACCAACAATCATGGCTGCAATGGCAAGGATGGTGATAGCATATAGCTAGAAACTGCCTTATAGTAGATGATTAAAGGAAAAATCAAAACTAGTTTGATTGTTGAACACATTTTATTTCTGAACATGAATAATACTTTAGCAGCATACTGTAAAATTTACTCGACACAATGAGCGCAATTTGCACCCTACAATTTTATATACACACATTACATTGTTAGCAGTGATAAAAGTTTGCAGAGTGGTCAGTTACATGCTCATCTGGCACGAACAGGGGAGAAAGTAAAAATATACGAAGTACGAGGGCTCATAAATAAGGTTAATTACAGTAAGACCCCGCTTAACGCTGTTTCGGTTAGCGCTGTTTCGGTTTAGCGCTCTTTTATTTCAACCCGGGGATTCCACGAAATTGCTCGCAGCATACGGGGATTCCCCGAAATATTATGCAGCAATAGGTTTCAAATACATATCCGAAAGAGTGTACTTGTATTTCTTGTTTGGTGCGGTATTGTACAGACATATTTTGAAGGGGTAAATGTGGAAGATGTTGAAGAAATAATTCAAGAAGCAACGGCTAGTCTTTCTAATGATGAGCT